GGCCTTACCTATCTAATGCAAAAACTAATGAAGTTTTCAAAGTGTTGCTAATTAAGTATGCAACAATTTTGTATCCCTTGTCTTTCAAAAAAAAAAAAAAAAAATCACGTGTAGATCCTAGATTTCTTTTAGGTTAAAATAAAAGGTAATGATGTAGACGCAATTCAACTCTAGATTTCTTTTATTAGCAAGTTAAGCTATTCAAATCCTTAATAACTAAAAGGGTATCGCTATAAGTAGCCCATCCTACATATAAGCATTAGATACGCTTTCTAACATGGTATTGATTTAGGAAATTTTGACAAAAAAAAAAAAAAAAATCACGTGTAGATCCGTGTATGTAATTAATGTCTAGTTATTCCTATTTCTTGTATTTTCTTTTTTAGCTTCTTATATGTATCCCTTATTAGGGTTATGTGTTTATCATTTTCCTAACTAAAATAGCTAACATTCACATAATTCAATATATAATTTTTTGTATGCAGCATGTTATATCGTGCGGCAGGGGTTACTCGAGTTGCCGGGGTTACTCGAGTTTCTCGATCAGGGGTTACCTGAGTTACTCGGTCAGGGGTTACCTGAGTTACTCTTGACTGAGTAACTCCTCAAGTAACTCTAACCGAGTAACCCCTCGAGTAATCCATGACCGAACCCCTCGAGTAACCCCTGACCAAAAAACCCCTCAAGTAACTCTGACCGAGTAACCCCTCGAGTTATCCATGACCGAACCCCTCGAGTAACCCCTGACCGAATAACCCCTCAAACCTTGACCGACTAACCCCTCAACTAACCCCTGACTGAGTAACCCCTCAAGTAACCCCTAACTGAACCCTCAAGTAACCCCCGACCGAGTAACCCCTGACTGAACTCCTTAAATAACATGTGACCGAATTACTCGAGTAACCACTGACCAATTTCCTTAAATAACTCCTAACCAAGTAACTCGAGTACCCCTGACCGAGAAACTCGAGTAACCCATGACCGAGTAACTCGAGTAACCCATGACCAAGTAAACCCTTGACCCCTGACCGAGTAACTCGAGTAACCCCTCAACCTTGGCCGAGTGAACCCCTCGAGTAATTCCTATCCGAACCCCTCAAGTAATCCCTGACCGAGTAACTCGAGTAACCCCTGGCTGAATAACTCGGGTAACCCTTAACAAAATAACTTGGGTAACCCCTGCTACACGGTGTGGGCTGCTGCACCAAAAAGTTTTGTCACCCGGCATACTCTCTAACCAAATGTGAGGCGGATTATTTACCTAAATCTCTATTTTGGACTTGATTTTAGCATAACAAAAATTGTAAAGGGTATTATTAACTCACCAAGTAAATTGTGTTGAGCTAAAAAATTCGGAGTATAAAGGAGAGAAGAGGAAGAGAATAGAAATCATTAAACATTGATTCATGATCATCGTATCATGCGTAACTCATAATCTAAGACTCCACAAACCCAAACTAATCAGACATCAAACTCGGAATATTATTAATAAGTTATGACACACGAACATATGTATAAATGAAATTATTGATAAGGCACACGTACCCCACATTCTTATTCATTCTCTAAATCTCAAAAGACAAACGTAAATCATTAAGATAGAAAAATTAGTTACTAGTATATTTCCTTGCCACAAGGCAAAGTGGATTTTTCTTATTCATAGTTAAACCAGGAAGTGTATCAGTGTCAATATCTTGAATTTTCATACCCGCTGGCAATTCCCAGTCAAAAGAGAATAATAAGTTGGCTAGTGCTAGCTCAAAGTTTGCAACAGCAAGAAGCATTCCAGGGCACATTTTTCTCCCAGCACCAAAAGGAATAAACTCGAAATTTTGCCCTTTATAATCAATTGAACTTCCCATAAACCTCTCCGGCATAAATATCTCTGGGTTCTTCCAATATTCAGGATCTCTTCCGATAGTCCATACATTAACAAACACGAGGGTTTTTGGTAGTATGTCGTACCCTTCTATAGTGCATTTTTTTAGTGTTTTCCTGACTATTAGCATTGGAACTGGAGGACGGAGCCTTAATGTTTCTTTGACCACAGCTTTAAAATACTCGAGCTTTGGCAGATCATCTGCTGAAATATAATCCTTGTTTTTTGCTGAATTCCGAATTTCTTTTTGTACTTTCTTCATCGCAGTTGGGCTCTTAATTAGTTCTGTCATCGCCCAAACTACCATTGCTGAGTTTGTATCTGAGCCTCCTACGAACATATTCTGTGTAACACATCTTCAGAAACAGTCAGTTTACAAATTGTACAACAACAAAAAAATATTGTAAGACAAGAACATAATTACCATAAGAACTCCTTTGATGTGGTCTAAAGTCAGATCAAAGGTAAAAGCACGCTCTTTTCTAAGGTGTAATAAAACATCAATTAAGTCCTCTGCCTCAGATTCAGGTCGATTTGGGTCAAGATGGTCACTAATGATTTCATCATAAAACACATCCAAACCTTTGAACGTCTTCTCAAGCCTCGATGATTGTCCGGTTAGCTTATCAAGCCAGCCGATGAAAGGAAAATAATCTGTAAAGAAGAAGGTTGCGAACATGGCCTGAACATCCTTTAGAAGGTCTTGAAATCTGCTCCTGTTGGACCCTTCATTTTCATCGTACCTGAGATAAATTTGATATAAGTTACTTTGTTCAACATTATTACTTATATGACACAATGAAGCAAGCAGGGCTACTTAATTTGATGAGAATATGATTTAAATTCTAATAGATTTTGACAAATTCAAATCAAGAGGTTGTTAATATTAGTATTACAGTAATACATACCTCTTGCCAAAAGCAATTCTGCATATATTGGAGCATGCAAAACTCATTAGCAACTCACTCAAGTTAACTGTTTCTAAACCAGAAGAAATTTGAGTAGAAATCTTGTTTACCATCCTCAAGACTTCCTCTTGTCGAATCGGAGTAAAAGACTCCACTCTTTTAGAACTAAGAAGATGTACAACACATATTTTCTTTATTTCTCTAAAGTATCCATAACTTTGGGCAAAAGCTAAGTCTAACCCTTTATAACTTAGTCTTTCTGTTGCGATCATTGATGGCCGGTAACAAAAGTTAAGATCCTGTGTATGAAGGACCTCTTTCGCCGTCTTGGCTGATTGAACCACCACAGCTTGTGCACTTCCGAATCGTGTAGCCAAGATTGGACCGTAAATCTTTGCTAACTTAGCAAAGTAGATGTGAGGTTTTGAAGGGTCAAACTGGTGTAAGTTTCCGATAATAGGAAGCCTTTTAGGTCCAGGAGGAGGATTAAATGGTTCATTCTTCCTTCGTTTTTGAAGAAGAAAGATAAGAGAGATTGTTGCAAGGAAGATGAGTAATAGTATCATGCTAAATGGTTTTGTTTTATGGTGTGCTTTGTATATGACTATATGTACTCTATATATACTAGTAGATGAGTAATAGGATTATATATTTATATTAGATGTACATCATAATTGTTTATCTTTGTTTTCTTTAAAAGTAAAGGTACACAAATTTTAGAATAGTCTTCTTCTAATTTTGTATTTTAACTTCTTTAAAGAATCAAAGTAAGAAACGTAATCATATTGATTAGAAAGAAGTATATATATGCAAATTGGAGAGTTGATGATTAACCAGCATAGGCATGGCATAGCGCCGCCATGTAGTATACTTCCTCCGTTCTTTTATTATTGCATCATATAAAGTTGGGCATATTTTTTTTGGTAGTGGAAAAAAGAAGAGATAGAAGGGTAAAAGTACAAAATTATCCATGTGATGTAAACATAAACTAAATAATCAAGTGTTAAAAGCAAGGGTATATTGGGTATTTACAGTGTAAACACATATATTTTGTTTCCTAAAATAAATATGGTGCAATATTTGTGAAATTTCCTTTAAAGACAAGTGGTGCAATAATTAAAAAAACAGAGGAAGTATGACTTTTAGTACTACTCCCTCCGTCCCATATTATATATAGTTCCTGTTTTCTTATTTTGGAGATCCAAAATGTTGTTCCTGTTTCTATTTTTGGATAGTATGTAAAGACTATTATACCCTCATTTTTTTAACTTTATTCATTGAAATTCCTAATTTATCCTTAAATTATCCATTTTGTCTTGTACTTTTTTCCATTTCTCTCTCTAACTTTTGTCTATAATTGTACTTTCACTTTTTTCCCCTTAAAATTAAAATATCCACTTGTCTTGTACTTTTATCTAACTTTTGTCTATTTTTTTTTTCCACTTTTAATGTACTTCATCCACTTTCTCCTCCCATTTCTTAAATATCGTGAAAAAAACACAAACAGGAACTATATATTGGGACGGATGGAGTACTAGTTTTGTGTCCTAATGATGCCTCAGATTGTTAATTGATTTTTATGTTAAAAAAATTTACCAAATTATGTTTTGAATAATAAATTTAGCTTATTCCAAATATAAAAATGTGAAAAAAATAAAATATAATAATAATAATAATAATAATAATAATAATAATAATAAATAAGATATTTAACTTTTTGTAAACGTTTCTACATATATGTGTTGACTAAGATTTTTTTATTTTTTATTATGTAATCAATTAAAATATATGTAGTATGATATATGAATCTTATAATAGATTGATGTAAAATATTGTGATGTAAAAATAATAGATTGATAAGATATTTATATTTGAGATTTCAAATTTATAAAATATAAAAAATAAACTCGGACGAATGAAGGCTGACACACGCCAAAACACTCTCAAAATAAATATTCTCATTTTACATAACGTCATAACCACAAGGCCTTTTTTTTAACACCCATGTAAAAAAACAAATATAACCGTATAAAAGTGGAGGAGGAAATACGAATTATTGAGTCATCAACTCTCAAGTCATATTTAGATATCAAGTCTTTCGTACAAAGTTAGTCTTATCTTTAAACTCGAGGCCGGGACCTCTTTTTTCTAGCATGGAGTTGATTAGTCAACAGTATACTCTTATAATGTTGCCTCTACATCAGCCATTTCACTTAGTAAATAAGACAGCTCATCTAAGCACTTGATACAGTAATATTTTCTGAAAATGAAATTCAGGCCTTGTTCATTTTCTGTGTATAAGTCTTTATTTTTGTATAACTACATTTTTGGCTCACGTTTATTTTTGAAAAGCTACATTTTTGGCTCGGAGTTGGGAGTTCTGAATTCTACACCAACAACTCACTTATTACTGTATCAGTATTTTGGATATGTACTGCTATGTTATATGCTTTATGGCAAAGCTTTCGGAGTAGGATATATCGTTTCTTATTGTCACATAAAATGCTCAAAACTCTGCATAAATAATTATTATGATGTCCTCTGTCTCAGATACAGGTCGATTTGGGTCAAGATGGTCGTTAATGATTTCATCATAAAACACATCCAACTCTGTGAACGTCTTCTCAAGCCTCGACGATTGTCCTGTTAGCTTATCGAGCCACCCGATGGAAGGGAAATAATCCGTAAAGAAGAAGGCCGTGAACATGGCCTGAGCATCGTTCAGAAGGTTGTGAAATCTGCTCCTGTTTGACCCTTCATCTTCATCATACCTGTGATACATTTGAATCAAACAATAAGGTACTTAGTTCAACTTTTTCCTTTTTGTGTTCATGCTTTGCAATTTTTTTGTGTGTGCTCCACGTATTATTTTGCGTAGCCAAATTTTAATCTAAGCTCCTAGGGATATTGAATCAGATAAAAGCATTTCTAAGCTTAATACTTGAGCAACTAAGCAACTAACCAAGTATATATATATATATATATATATATATATATATATATATATATATATATATATATATATATATATATATATATATATATATATATATATATATATATATATATATTTAATTCACTTTAATTACCCTGATCTAAACTTTATTTGTCTAAAATTTAGTTTATAATGCATGTCTTAAAATAAGTCTAGAGTCTAGACAGTCTACTATTTTAAATATTACTTATGTTTTTTTGTATATCTATTACAAGTACTCTCTCCGTCCGTAATTATCTGTAACATTTACTTAAAATGGATGCTCTCTATTATCTGTAACAAATTTTTTTCTTTTCTTTTTTAGTAATATTTAACTATTAATTACCCACTATTACCCACTTTTTTGGTTAGTGGACCCCTCTACCACTGATTACCCATTAACTAAAATCCACTCAAAACAAAATTAAGTGGAACCACTCCTTTTCCCTCCATTTTCAACCTTAATTAAACCCACCAAAACTCAATTAAAACTCCCCGAAAAGTTTTGCCTCAGAGTCCGTGAAAGTATCCTTTGGTGCAGATAGTCCCGGGCGGAGGGAGTATAATCTTTAGTTGTATCTTCTATGAAGTGTGTTCTTTTGTTTTAGAAAATATAATGGAAATTAAACATTTAACATTTCACCAGTCTTCCCTAAAAAAATACAACTTTTTGATAATCCCATAAAAATTCAACTTTTACCCCCTATCTTCATCTAAGATCCATTATTTATTAGTAACCAGTTTTTATAAGTTATATGCAAATGTGGCGCAATTTCATAGGTCTATTTCATTTTTTAAAAAATTGAAAAATAAAAAAAAATAAAAAAAAAAAAGAAGAAAGAAACATAACCCCAGCCCCGCCCCCTATAAAGCCTAAATGACCGGCCAACCACCCTAATCCCACCCCTGCGCCACCAAGGGCTGAATGGCCACCCTCTTTTCTGCACAACCCCTTCCGCCAGATCAACCTTCCAAAAAAAACCCCACCGCCAACAACCCAACCAACAACACCAACTCTAGCCACCCCACCAACAATAGCAGCAGCGCCTTCACACCAAGTAGCAGCCAAACAGGCCACTCAAAGTCGACGACAAATAGCATCAATGTTGACGACGATGATGATCTGAAAACCAGACGACGATGATGAACTGAAAACCCTAGTTTTCAGAGGAGAGAAATTGTTTCAAGTTGCGAAATTGAGGGGATATGTCAATCAAAGGTGAAATCAAATGTTTTTGGGGATGGGGTTTCACCTTAGATATTGGGGTTTTTTGAGTTGGGTGGAATTTTTGGGGCGGCAAGGGGTGGTGCAGGGGTTTTTGTGAAGGGGGTTTTCGTGGTTGGAGTGGCTCAGGCGACAGGGGTGGTGGTGGTGGCAAGATGTGGTAAGGGGTGGCCATGGAAGGGTTGTAGTTCACGGGGCAAGTGGGTTTTTGGGGTGGTGCTATGGTGTTGGATTGGTGGATAACTGGCTATGGTGTGAGGAAAGAAATTTAGGGGAAAAAAAAAAAAAAAAAAAAAAAAAAAAAAGAGGGAGAGAGAAATTTTAACCTGGTTACAGATCAAATGGATAATTAAATAAAGATAGGGGTAAAGGTAATTAAATTTAAATCAAAAGGTCACAATTAAATTACAAACCGTACTCAATTTGTAGTCATGTTAAACATGGAGGAAATACTGTAGCCCACTTACTCGCTAGGTCAAGTTTGTTTGACTCTATGAAGCACGTATGTTTTGATCCGTTTCTGAAAAGTATCACAAGACTTGAATTGCGGAAATAGACTTACTTTAATGCAAAGCTCAGCCGGTTTTCAAAAAAAAATATTACAAGCAGTAATACATACCTCTTGCCAAAGGCAATTCTGCAAATATTGGAGCTTGCAAAACTCATTAACAACTCGCTCAAGTTAACAGTTTCTAAACCAGAAGAAATTTGAGTAGAAATCTTGTTTACCATCCTCAAGACTTCCTCTTGTCGAATCGGAGTAAAAGACTCCACTCTTTTAGAACTAAGAAGATGTACAACACATATTTTCTTTATTTCTCTGAAGTATCCATAACTTTGGGCAAAAGCTAAGTCTAACCCTTTATAACTTAGTCTTTGTGTTGCAATCATTGATGGGCGGTAACAAAAGTTAAGATCCTGTGTATGAAGAACCTCTTTCGCTGTCTTGGCTGATTGAACCACCACAGCTGGTGTAGTTCCAAATCGTGTAGTCAAGATAGGACCGTAAATCTTTGCTAGCTTAGCAAAGTAGATGTGAGGTTTTGAAGGGTCGAACTGGTGTAAGTTTCCGATAATAGGAAGCCCTTTAGGTCCAGGAGGAGGATTAAATGATTCATTCTTCCTTCGTTTTTGAAGAAGAAAGATAAGAGAGATTGTTGCAAGGAAGATGAGGAGTAGTATCATGCTATTGGAATAAAATGATTACCTTGGTTTTGGCTTAGGATGTATTATGTAAAGTACTCTGTAGTAGCAGAAAAGTAAAGGTACGCCAAATTAAGAAAAGTCTTCTTCTAACATTGTGTTTTAACTTATTAATTTTTATTTTTTTTGAAGGAAACTTATTAATTAAAATAACTTAAAAAGATAATATATTATATTAGAGGTAATACTCCTTCCGTCTCATAATATATGAGATGTTAGACTTTTTTTCACTAATTTGCATTAGGTTTGCCCATAATTTTGTACTGATATAATAAAAATATATTTTATCGTAAAATATGTTTTTAGATAGGTTTTAATATAGAGTTTCATAATATAATTTTTAAAATAAATTTTCATTAATATTTAATTTTATAAAAGGTCAAACTAGTGCAATGGCATGTGTGCAATGTTTGACTGTGTCATGTATTATGGGATAGATAGAGTATTTTAGACATAATCAATCATAGGTGGCATAACACCACACCCGACCCGATCCGACCCAAAAAATATTTGATTCAGATTTTGGCTCGCCTGGACAAAATATTTTAATATGACTCAATTTTAAAATTTGACCCGATTCTATCTGACCTCACCAAAACCAATCCGGACACTCAAATTGAAAACGCCTATGCATGCCATGACATAGCACCATGTAGCATATGACTTTTCATTATTGTTATCGTTATTTATTCATATACATTTAGATTTTTAACGCTTTGATTTTTAGTCAACAAATTTAAAAATAATCATAAGAGGACAAAGATGGGTTCTATTTGTTAATTTAATTTATAAACATACATGATTAGCCGTTTAATATTTTTTAATAATAGAGATGTATGTCGCACATAGAGGTGTAAGTTTATGATGCAAATCTTTAAATCCGACTGTTTTGAATCGATCTAAAATGGAACTAAATCGTTAAAACCCGTTTTTGTAAATCGATCTGATCTAATTCTTTCTAACCCGAAATTGAAGTGAATCGAATTTGTACGAATCGTTACTAACCCGACCCGTTATCAAGCAAAACTGTTACAACCCAAAACTGAAAACAACCCGAACCGATTACATCTAAACTCGATAGTAACCCGACCCATTTAAAACCGAAAACCATTTAAACCCGGCAAATCCGATAAACCTGAACCGGTCCAACCCGTAACTCGTTGGGACCGAATCATTTATAACTCGTAACCCGTTATGACTAAACCATTTCCAACCCGTAACCCGTTGAGACCGAACTGTTTACGACCCGTAACCCATTGAGACCAAACTGTTTACGATTGGTAACCCGTTATGACTGAGTCGTTTACAACCCGTAGCCCAATATGTTTATGATCTAATCCTTTTCAACCCACTACTCGATAAACCCAACTTATTTATGACTTAACTTGATTATAACATGACCCGTTCCTACCCATCTGACTAACTCGACTCGATAATGATCTGACTCGATTTTAACCCAATATGATTTGGACTGAAATTCGCTTCAAATTGGGTAAACCCATTTTCAAACTGACCAAGTTCAATACAAACCGACTATGACCTGAACCGATAATGACCGAACCCCCGATTTCATCCGATCGATCTATTTGAACCGAAACTCATTTTCAAACCGACCCGATTTAACCCAAACTGATTATGATCCTTACCGATTACAACCCGACCCGATTAGAACCTGAATTGTTTTGAATCGAAATCCATTTTAAACTTGTTTTTAAACCAATCCGATTTAACCCAAATTGATTATGACCGCGAACCAACTTCAATCTGACTCGATTAGGACCCGACACGAAAAAAAAAAAATCAAATTGAACTGACGATGATTTTCAAAACCAACCCAAACTGAACCGCTAATCATTTCAATCCATTATAAACCGATCCGTTATAATTCGAAACTGATAAACTCAACCCAAACCCGAACTATTTACCCGAATTGACACTCCTAATCCCACATAATAATTATATAAAAGTAAATATATATAGTGTAATAATCATTGTTTAGCTGTATTTTATTGAATTATTTCAGCTTATAGAGAGTGTAATTGAAATTTTGTTCAACAATAACGACCGACGACCGAGCAAAAACCAATAACATTAGTACATCACATGTGCGATATGAGAGGCCAAAGGCCACATATCTTATATTTCACTCTCTTTATAGTATTAGTTTACTATTAAGCTAGTTTACAATAGTAATTAAAGATTAATTTTTATTTCTTAAAAATCTTCTCATCTACATTTATAATTGTATCACTCGGAAGTCGGAACCAAATCCAACATAATAAATTTTATTGATTAGTAAGGACGTAAGGTCATTTATTATACATATAATCATCCAATTCTTTCAACACTCAAAAAACCCATCATAAATTGAAATTACCAAGCTTCATATTATTTTTTGGGGTGCAACTATGAATATGTTTTTTGCCACAAGGCAAAGTGGATTTTTCTTATGCATAGTAATACCAGGCAGTGTATCAGTGTCAATATCTTCACTTTTCATATCATCAGGCAACCCCCAGTCAAAAGAGTATAACAAATTGGCTAGTGCAAGCTCAAAGTTTGCAACACCAAGAAGTATTCCAGGACACATTCTTCTACCAGCACCAAATGGAATGAGCATGAAATCATTCCCTTTGTAATCAATTGAACTTCCTAAAAACCTCTCCGGCATAAATATTTCTGGGTCCTTCCAGTATTCGGGATCTCTTCCAATGGCCCATACGTTTACAAACACTAGGGTTTTAGGTATAATATCGTACCCTTCTATGGTGCATTTTTGGAGAGACTCTCGGAGTACTAGTAACGGAGCTGCAGGTTGGATCCTAAATGTTTCTTTGACAACGGCTTTGAGATATTCGAGTTCTGGTAGATCTTCCACTGATACATAACCCTTATGTCGTGCTGGTGAGTCTCGAATTTCTTTTTGTACTTTCTTCATCGCGGTTGGGTTCTTAATTAGTTCTGTCATCGCCCAAACTACCATGGCTGCACTTGTATCTGTTCCCGCTACAAACATATCCTGTGAAATATAAAATTTAGTACCACAAAATTTATATATGAACATTACTTAGTAAAGTAAGGTAATAAGCAACTTGTTACCATAAGTACAGCTTTGATGTTGTCCATAGATAGATCATACGTAAAGGTTTTCTCTTTTTTGATCTGAAGTAGAACATCAATGATATCCTCTTGCTCAGGTTTAACTCTATTTGGATCTAGATGATCGTTTATGATTTCTTTCGAAAAATGCATCTAAGTCTTTGAATGCCTTCTCGAGCCTAGAGGATTGTCCGGTTAGCTTATCGAGCCAGGCTATGGAAGGGAAGTAATCAGCAAAGAAGAAGGCGGTTAACATAGTCTGAGCGTCACTTAGAAGCTTGTGACAATTGTAACCTTCATCATCACTATACCTGTAAAACATCATTAAAAATGTTAAAGACTTGTTATGTTGTTTATTTTATTTTATTTTTTTACTTCTTGTCATTTAAAAGCCTCGATCTGTAAATAAAAAACCCAAGTGAAATTTCATGGGAATTAATTGATTTGGGATATTACATGATTTTTGCAAAGATTAGAAAGTACATTTATTAGACTTGTTTGTGTTTGTATATTTATTAGACTTGTTTGTGTTTGTATATTTATTAGAAAGTACACAATTCAATGTTGAAAGGAGATAAAACAAACATTGTCGTATTCTTCTTGAATTAAAGAAGCAAAAAATCATATTCTCATGTCTTTTATATGGAGTATTTAATGTAGGCACAATTTCTAGAAAAATGTCAACAAAATGATCTGATAAAATTAATAAACAATTTTTTGCATAATCATTTAATGAATTTCCTACTCCGTATATTTAATGGTATTGGGGAATTTATGGAACATGTGTAGATTAGTGTACATAAATATGATCGCCTAAAATGAAAATGAAAAATATATTAATTATGGAATAAGGAGTATTATTCTATTCATCCAAAATTAAAAAAATTATTGATAAAATATTAGTACTCCCTCCGTCCCTTTATTAGATGTCTATTTCTAGCATTTATTACTCACATAATAAAGAGAAGTAGACATCTAATTAAAGGATGGAGGGAGTATGAAAAATCATGAAAGTTAAATGTTTGTAATCTAATATGGGATAAAGTAATTAAGAGAGCAGATTATAAGCCGCTTTAAGGTGATCCCTAAAAAATTGATATTTCCGTACCAGTTTTAAAATACTCAGTCAGTAATCATGTATTTTCTTTCTTAGCAAAATTCCATGCATCAACGCGCTCTTACTACCACATCTACGCAAGCTAGCTAGCTAAGTAGCAATGCCTAAGCTTATCAACATTTATTACCATCTATCAAACTGGCGTTTAGCTTGCTAATATTTTATAATAATGAGACAAACTTATAGAAGTCATGCTATACATCATCAAATACATTATTAGTAGTAGACATATATAATAATAGTTATAATGTAATATTTTATGACAATTATTTCCAAATCATAAGGTCATGAGAAGTACCTCTTGCCAAAAGCAATTTTGCATATATTGGAGCTTGAAAAGGTCATTAACAACTCGCTCAAGTTAACGACTTCTGAAGCAGAACACTTGGTAGATATCTTATTAATCATCCTCATAATTTCTTCGTGTCGAACCGAAGCAAAAGACTCCACTTTTTTCAGGCTAAAGAGATGAACAACACAAATCTTTTTAATTTCTCTAAAGTAATCAAGGCTATGAGCAAACGTTATGTCCAACCCATTATAACTTAATTTTCGAGTTCCTAATGTTGGTGGTCTATAACAAAAGTTTAGATCTTGTGTTTGTAGGACCTCTTTCGCCGTCTTGGCAGATTGAACCACCAATGTGTGTTGCGGTTCCAAATCTTAAAGACAAGATCGGACCATAGATCTTGGCTAGCTTAGCAAAGTAGATGTGAGGTTTTGAAGGGTCAAATTGGTGTAAGTTTCCAATAACAGGGAGCCCTTTAGGTCCGGGCGGAGGGTGAAATGGTTCCCTTTTTTTGTGTTTTAGAAAAAAGAAAATAAGAGAAGAGGTTGCTAGGAAGAGGAGTAGTAGTATCATGTTTTATGGTTTCACAAATTTTTGTTTATGGTTCTTGGCATTTATAATCATGAAATCATGCA